CCTGGTGCGGGGACAGCGGCCTCTGTCCTGTGGCGTGGCTGTCTCCTGCATTTGTTATTCTATGGAAAATCAGAATTACCATTCGATTCCCCGCAGTGGAGACTTTTGGGGGGGTTTATTACTTTTGAATCTGTCATTTGTTTTATCTACCAAAGGTTAATTTTATTTTCTTCCCCCACTCTGCTTTGCTTTCTTTTGTCAGCAAGTTCTTTGCTGTTGTTTCCTGAAACGAGCCACCAGCGCTGCGCTGGCAACTGCACCTCTCTGGTGCGGGCTGTGTGGTACTGTACGTCCTGCGTGAATGCTAATTTACCGCTCTGGATTGAAAAATTTATAGGAGATACCGAGCTCCGGTGAGGGGTTCCTGCTGCTGAGCTGTTTCTTTGCGTGTCAATGCATTTATTTTCAATAACTGTTCCTAGGCTGATTATACCAGGCTAATGCTGACAGAATTATTTGACAGCATCCCTTGATATTTCAGCATCTAGTAAAGAGCCAAAACCCTGCGAATGTTTTGCAGTTTGTTTTCTCCTTAATCTGTTCTCTTTGTTGCTGAGAGCAGGCAATAGATTGTGTGGCTCTTAGCCTTGATAACAGCATGGCAACGTCCATCTTACTTGATCTGAAACCATTAAACGTTGAAGGAAGACAGAGGGAAAATAACAGAGGGAGGGTGATCATTGAACCAAATAATTGTATAAATGCCAAACTAAAACCAGTCTCATCCTCCGTGCGATGTCCTTTTGCCAGGAATTAGTGAGATGTATGTTCCAAGTAATGGGTTTTACCAAGGGCGATGACGGGGAAAAGATGAGTAAAGCATACATACATAAAATATCAAAAACATTGGGTAGGTACCACCTAAAAGGCAGCCTTGCTTTTTCAAATTAATGGACCTTGTCAGCTGAAATACAGTATATATTGAAAACCTGTGAGAGCTAAAGATTTTTTTTCGTATGCACTCTTCCCCTCAACTTCAAGACTGGTTTGAATTATTTTCCTGGGAATGGCAGGCTAGTTCGATGCCGCTCTTTGGTAGCGTGGTAGCCCAGCAGAAGTCAGTGATTTATTTGCAACGGGCAGGGGGGCTGGGGGCTGCAGCGTGCTGTGCTCACTTGGAGTTGTCCCAAGCCCTGGGCGCCCGGGCGAAGCTTGGGAGGGCTCTGGGACTGGTCCTTGCCCGGTGCTGCAAAGTCCCTGCCAAAATGGAACAGCAGCCTGCAGTTTTGAGTGCTCATTTTGCACAGGTGTAAAGAGCTGCCCGAGGAGGTAGACAAAGGCAGATTGACTCACAGCTCCTTCTCGGAGGAGTTGATGACTGATTACTGTATCGTACCAATATTTAATGATGGGGATAGTCTCGACGCAAGGAGTTTGCCTAATGCAGCAGGACTTCCCGGGCACAGCTACAGCTGTTGAGGAGCACGGGTGAAAATGGCATTTAGCTAACAAAGGTAAACTAAAAATGCAGATTTTTAAGCAAATTCTGAGAAGTCTGCACTGCTCTGCAGTTTACCCCACCCTTCAGACTGAAGAGCTTGGGTACGGATAGCAGCAGCGGAGCCTGGAGCTCTGCGTGGGGTAACGGTGGAGTTGGTTCCTTACCTCAGGCTCTGGAGGTTGTGCTGAGTTGTGGCCACGGCAGAAGACATTGCTACAAAGTCAAACTCATTTAATGCTAATTTTATTTTGCACGAGCTGTAGTCGCACACTTGATTCTTGTGTAGGCATTCTCTTGGGGAAGGGCAGGAGAATTCATCTGCCACGCACCAGATCCCCACCTGGCTGAACGGCGTTTGCTTCCTGCAGCCACAGAAACCGGCGCGGGCGTGGGGAAGGGGAGCCCTGCGCTGCGACTCGCCCAAACCCAGGACTCGGAGACTGCTCGGAAGTCGCTTCTTCCCCGTGCAAATAAATCACTGACGTCTAGCGGTGAATGGAGCACTGAGCCCTGCCTTGCTTTCATCGTCTCTGGGAAGCGAAGCGGTGGGGGATGCGCGGGAACCCCCCAGCTCGAGGGAGGAGGGGGAGGGGGAAGCGTGGCAGGGCAGCTTGCGGGAGCGCCGTGCTGCGTGATTGATGGTGATTTCTTATTGCAGTTTCCTGCTTTTTCAACTTCACCACCCCATCTGGGATTGTGCTGTCTCCAAATTACCCCGAAGAGTACGGAAGCAGCTTGCACTGCGTTTGGTTAATTATAGCTAAACCCGAGAGCCGGATTCACTTGGCTTTCAATGATTTCGATGTGGAGCCGCAGTTTGATTTCCTGGCCGTGAAGGATGGCGGGACTGCCGAATCTCCGGTGCTGGGGACCTTCTCAGGAAGCCAGATCCCCTCCTCTCTGACCAGCAGCGGTCACGTAGCCCGGCTGGAGTTCCAGACCGACCACTCCATGGAGAAGAGAGGCTTCAACATAACCTTCACCAGTAAGTGCCTGGTCCTTGCTTCTGGTTTTCATTTCAAGCTCTAAATTTTTGTTGGGAACTAAAAGGCAATAGTTTGATCTCGCTGAACCCACTGCAAATGCAGAGTAAGCCTGAAAATTGGGGATTACTTTAGATTTGTGGTTGGGTAGTTGAAGACTGGTTTCAAGCTTAGAGCTGGTGGCACAGGTTCTTTCTGGCTGTGAAGTCTGTGTTGTCCAGTGGTGAAAGAAACGGTTTTGCCCTGGGTTATCTGTCCGTGGAGGAGCCGGGGTTTCTGCTCTCCCGTCAGCCCGCAGTTTGCTGTGGTGTGTGGGCTTTCTGCTCGCTGTCTCTGGGCCTCCGTTCTGCTCACTGACATGAGACACAGCGTTGTGGACAGCTTGATGCAGATCAGGAAGAGCTACTAGATCTTGGATGGTTGTGCTCATCAGTCAGTGCTGTCATCATTTGCTGACACCTACGAGCATGCAAGGCTTTGATGATGAAGGAAAACATGTAGCAATATCTTGTAATATAAAGCATGGAAACTTCTGCAGATATATTTGGCTTCACATAAGTCCAGTCTTCAAATCTCAAATGAATGCTATGGTAATTTTATCCTTGTATTGTTCTGTAATTTTCTAAAGAGCTTTATTAAACCTATTCAGCAGAACTGATAAATGACTTTGTTATAATAGCCTTTAGTGGCACAGCTAAATTAATAGCCTTTCTAGCTATGATTGCAAATCCTCTATTTAAAAAAAATAAATCAGAGGTCTTAAGAAATCATTAAGAATCACACTGCAGGAGGCTGAAGGCTCATCAGATGAAGTAGCTTGCGCGTGGTAGTATCATGTACCCAGGACGGAGTCCTGGATCCTGTAAGCAGGGAGACACCTCATCCCGAGGCACCGGTGCTGCCCTCCAGTATGCGTCCCCGCGGCGTTGCAGATCTGTGTTGGGAGCTGTGGCTGCACCCTGCACAAACACATTTCGAAGCCAAATTTGTAATTGTTGCAAATTGCTCTGAAGTGTGCGGGAGTTAATGTGTTCTGACTGCTTGAGCTGCCGAAGGGAGCTCCCGAGTCTTTCTTGGACACCTTGCCATCCTTTCCTTCCATGTAGGCATGAGAGAGGGGACAGCACACTGCTGCGAGGGACAGGTAGAAGAGCGTGAGGAGCAGGCTCAGCCTGCGTTTTCCCCTTTAGCAGTGCGTATAACAAGATATTGTAAGAGTAATGGTGCTCTGTAGGAACTCGAGAACTCATCTGAATTTGGTCAAGTGCATTAAAGATACTAAAAGCGTGTGTGTAATTAATCTGGAGGCTTTAATCTTTAATATGCTGTGCATCTCTGAAGACCACCTCCCCGCATATGAAGATATAGTACATAATTATGCACTTAATGGGGAATTAAGGCCGTAGACTTACTTTCTGATTGGTTGGCTGGCCTAGTTTTTAGCTGCTGGAAAAGGGCAGGCTGTGTGCCTGTGCAATCCCACGTGCAGCTTTGCAGCTCCTAGCAAGGTAATTGCTGCATGTCCTTCATTTTATCCTAGGAACGATGACAAGCAAGGTGGGGACTGTGTGGCAGCCAGTCACAGAGCATGCTGAGAGGACCCTTACTTTTAACCACAGGGGCTTAAAACTTTCTTTTTTTTTTTTTCATTAATAGTTAACTTATGTCCCCTCTATGCAGATGCATGCACTGTGGTATTTTTAGAGTTTTTAAAAATCTTCTCTATTTTGGTTATTTCCGTACTTTCATCTGTGGAAGGTTGCTAAGAAGGTAATTTGGATCTGCAGGTTCTTGCCTGGCCCTTGTGTCTCAGCACCTCTTGGATGCAGGTGGTGTTAATCTCATCCTTCGTCTCTGAGGCTGCAAACAGACGCTTGCCGTAGAGACAGGGAACGGGAAAATTCAAGTGACTTCAACTAGATGAAAAGTTGAAAGGTGCAAACACATACTTGGGTGTCTTAGCAGTTTGGAGAAGAGGCAGTGACGTGATTTCTGCCACGGGCTGACTTGTCTGTGCGGAACACAGCAGCTTTGCTGGGATGAGAGTGAGCCAAATTCCAGTCCATGCTGTTTGGCCTTCCCTGTGAGGAAGGTCTGCTGTCCAGGGGCAAGATCAAGTGCTGTTGTCTCCATCGGAAAGACGTGAAGCTATTGTTTAATTCCTGTGTTTGCGATCCAACGTGCTTATTTTTGAATTGGACAGAGGTGGGGGGGGAGAACAAGTTACTCACTATTCTCCTATCTTTCTGTCTCAGCGTTTAGGCATAACGAATGCCCCGACCCTGGCGTGCCTGTGAACGGGAAGCGATTTGGTGACAGCCTCCAGCTTGGCAGCTCGGTGTCCTTCCTTTGCGATGAGGGCTTCATTAGGACCCATGGCGCAGAAACCATCACCTGCATCTTGAAGGAAGGCAACGTGGTTTGGAACAACGCAGTGCTCAGATGCGAAGGTTCGCTTTGTCGTCTTCCCTACTAGCCTGTACGTGCACGCTGGAGGGAGAGTGGTCCCCTTGTGTTTGCAGCCCGTTGGGGGAAAAGGAGAACAGTTTTGTCTGTCGAGGTGCCGGTCAGGTAACCCATAGCGAAGGCACACAGTGCTGGCCTTGTGGGAGGCCTTTTGCCGTTACGTAGCTGGAGGCATTTGTTGGTAGGGGCTGAAGGATTACTGGGCTTCAGTTCTACCCCGCAGCTTCCCCGTTACGGCCATGAGCTTACATAGCTCGGCAAGGTGGTGTCTGCAGGGAAGAGTTTGCTGTAGGAGGAGATGCCAGTTCAGTAATCACTGAGCGCTGAACTCAGTTTGTTTTCTAATTTTTTATGAAATGAACGATGAGGATTATTATTATTAGCTCAGTTCTGGTTACAACAGGTAGTTTTCTAATAGCAATAATAAAAGGCCTGGATTTACCGATGACTAAAAGCTTCCCCGCTACTCTTGTCACGAAGGGAATTAAAGGACAGAGAATGGCAGATAAACAACAATGTTTTTACTGTCCTGATTTTTGATACGTGTTACATGTGTAATATTTATGTAATGCAAGAAGCAAAAGATACAGGTCTTTACAGTGAAATGTGAACTCAGTGCCGCAGACATTCCCATGCACGCACACCCCTTCGTCGCATCTCTGTCGGTGCGGTGCGTCGTTCCCATCCAATGCCCTCTGGCAGTTCAGAGCCAGAAATCTTGCATTTACGTCTGTTGTCACAACAGCTACGATAGCCAACCTAGGAATGAGGGAGATGAGTTGAATTAGAGTTTAATACAGATTTCAAAGATTCTTCCTAGTCCTTTAAAGCTTCTACTGTGGAAAAGAAGTGAAGAAATTGCTCATTAGAAGTGAAAAGTCTTCCTCTGCCCTCTGTTCTCAGGGAAGTGATGCCCTGCACTCGTATTTGCAGCAATTTGAGTAGCAAGTACTGTGCTATTGAGAAATAATACTGTAATATTGAGAAAGAATTTCAGTAACTGGTCATGCATTGTTGAAGTGGATGAGCAGCAGAAAGCGCACAGTCTAGTCCATTGTCTTTCAGATTGAAGGAAGAAGGTAGCAATTGTGTTCCATAATTTTCAAGTAATAAGAAGCTGGACTTTTTTATATTCTTGTATAATTTTTTTTTTGCAAGCAGCTGACAATAAAATGTCTGTAGGTTTGATTCAGGGTTTCCACTACTTTCACAGACATGAACCTTGAAGTTTGTTATCTGTAAGTGTAGAAGGGAAACATACATTAAATATTACACTTTTAATCAACTTTTATCTTTGGAAGCTTTGATAACCTCATGCCATTAACTTGTGCTTTTTTCCCCTGTGATCACAGTGGTGATTTCTTTGACTCTCCTTTCAGTATGCCCTCAGTTAAGTGTACATTTTAATTAGCCTTTTTAAATAAGTAGGAAGTATATAGGGTTAAAGTACTGCTTAGCACTTGAAAAAAACTAATGGCAAAGAGAGAGACCTAAAAAAAGGAGTTGAAAGACCGATAGAAGTCCTGCCCAGAAATCGTGTAGCTTTGGGGCAGAAAGAAGCCTCTGGTTCAGAAATAATTGGTTCAGATCCGGTCGAGATCAGTTGACTTTCATCTGGCATCCTTCAGCCCAGCGGTGAAGGCTTGAGGCCCAAGCTAACGTAGGTGTTGAAGGTCATCTCAGGTGTGACGTTTGGTAGCCCTTGTGCAAAGCTTGGGCTGGGGCTGGCCCTGGGTTGGAGCTCCAGCAGCTGCTGGGGGAGCAGGGTCCCCTCGGGCTGCGCGGACGCAGCGGGCGCCGGGGGACCGGGGAATCCCGGAGGATGGGCTGGTAGCGTGGCCGCGCTGCCGGGTGGGACCAGCCCTGGGGTCTGGGCTCAGTGGGGGACAGGAGGACGCGTCTGGGTGAGGAATCCTTCAGCATGCTGAGCAGGGGGTGCCGACTCGCGGGGGCAGACACACTCTTCCCTCCTGTTTGATTTCTAAAGGACGATGCACTGCAGTTGTTTCAGGCTGTAGGATTTTGTCCCTCTGGTCCATCAGAACCAGTATCCTTTTTCCAGAAAAGGTAATAATAGGCCTTTAGCTTCTGCCGGTGGCACGAGGGACCACAATGTGGAATAAATGCTGTAGTCTTGTGATGTCCCTTAAGGAAGAAAAGGCATGACTCAATTACCACAGATACGAAAGATTTTCTGGCACCTGCAGCTACTGAAATGCAAACTGACCTTGCTGTTTTCTCTGGTTTTATATCTAATAATTATTATTATACCCTGTCCCCTTAGATCCGCTGCACAAGGTCAGGATACTGACTCCCACAGATACAGCAGCAGGCTGCTACCTCTTCAGTTTAAACTGAAAAGGCAATTTCTTACCAGCTAGTGTTGTTACTTCATCTGGTTCTGATTATTTTTAGCATGTGAGAAACAATAATGCATGGAAGCTATTGCATGGCAGGACAGTACTGCTTGGCAGGGAGGGGGGTGTCTGGTTGTGCTACAGCTTCCGAGATGCTCCTCACCGGAATTGCGTCTTTCCCTTGTCCCCAGCGCCGTGCGGGGGGCACCTGACGTCGCCCAGCGGAACCATCCTGTCCCCGGGCTGGCCGGGCTTCTACAAGGACTCGCTGAGCTGCGCCTGGGTCATCGAGGCCCAGCCGGGATACCCCATCAAGATCACGTTTGACAGGTGCTCACCCTGGACTTCTCAAAATGTCCTTTTCGCGGTTGTTCTGGCGGTTCTGGCAGCGCTGAGTTGTAGCCACCCCCGGAGGAAAAGGGAGCGAGCTGCTCGGTGTCGTGTTTGGCAGGGAGGTTCTCTCTCTCTGCTTTTGTTAACTCCTGACAAGACATTAAAATTCACCGAACGTTGAAGAAGAAAAGGTGGAAAGATGGTGATTTTTCCCTGCTTGTTTTGACTAACTCCTGCTAATTTGCAGTGCTATTTTAGATACACGTAGGACACGTTTTCGGAGGCTGAGCTCCCACGTGCGCAGCCCGCCAGGGAGAAGCAGCAGTGAGGATCTGGCCCTGACTCGGGCGTGCCGAGCCTCTTGCCTTACTCTGGCTTTCACTGTTTGAGGAGGGCTACGCTTGCTTGAACCTGGGTCTGTATGGCTGAAAAGTGATGGTTTTGGGTAGCTTAAGATGCTCGTTGCTGCAAAGACTGTTTGGTGTCAGCAGATGAAGCAGGTGAAGGATCAGAAAGAAACCAGAATGCGTCGGAGGGGAATGATGCTCTCAGGAAGACGGTCAGGCAGCAGAAACAGAGCCGCGTGTCACCCCATGGCCTGTGCTGCTCTCCAGTCATTAGAGCACGTTCAGGACTGCAGTGAAGAAAAATTTGCTATGCTGGTTTTTCACAGACGTATTCTTGTGTCCCTTTCAGATTTAAGACAGAGGTGAATTATGACACCCTGGAAGTGCGAGATGGCCGGTCCTATTCTTCCCCGTTGATAGGTGTCTATGATGGGACTCAGGTGCCCCAGTTCCTCATCAGCACCAGCAACTACCTCTACCTCCTCTTCACCACTGACAAAAGCCACTCTGACATAGGCTTTCAGATCCGATACGAAAGTAAGTGCAAGTCATTCGTGTAATTGTGTGCTCTCCAGCAGCACAATGGGCTCAATCAGAGGCGCGTTGGACTCGCTCCCCCCTTGCCAAGCAGTCAGCACTGTCACAGTGACTGCAGAACGTGAAGCTGCTGCAAGTGAAGTAGCAGGTTCTGCTTTTTGACCATCTTGGTTGTTTAGGGTTTTTTATTTTAGCATCTACAGAATGTTATTGATTTTAGGAGGCAGAGTTGAGTTCCTCTGTCCGTTTCTTCCTCTTACTTTATAATGAGTAGGACTTTGAATGAGCTCATAGGAGGAGCTGAACTTTCCCCTTGCTAATGGCTGCACCTCGCAGCCGGCTCTGCAGCCTGGAGTGGTCTGACACGAGTGGGTCTGTTTGCCACAGCTGTGAAGCTCCAGTCAGACCACTGCTTGGATCCGGGGATCCCAGTGAACGGCCAGCGCCACGGGAATGATTTCTACGTGGGAGCACTGGTGACGTTCAGCTGCGATTCAGGCTACACCCTGAGCGACAGCGAAGCCCTGGAGTGTGAGCCAAACTTCCAGTGGAGCCGGCCGCTGCCCAGCTGCGAGGGTAAGGACTGCAGGAGATAACGTCTGCCGGAGATGGCAAACGCTCATTGCAGGTCTACTGCAAAAGCAACGCAGCAATTGTAAGGCTTGCAGTGACATTTGATCTGTGTATTGTGTTTGATTTTGATGGTTCGAGCTTTGTTTTGACATTCAAAGAATTGATGTTCTTCCAGCTGACGATGAGCTTTGAATTCTTTAATTCTTTCTTCTTTTTTGCAGCTCTATGCGGAGGTTACATTCGTGGTTCCAGTGGTACCATCTTATCCCCAGGCTTCCCTGATTTTTATCCAAATAACTTGAACTGCACGTGGACAATAGAAACATCACATGGAAAAGGTGAGAAACCTTCAGCTTAGAGTGGTTTTAGAGACGGACTGGGGCACAGTGGTCAGTGGGAGGCAAGTGGTCCCTGTGCAAACCAAGAGTTTGTCTCAAAGGTGGTGATGGTGGGCACCAATGTGCTTGGCCAGTTGCATTCTTGCCATCACCCAAACATTGTCTCTCGACAAGATGCAGAGGTTTATGGTATCACATCTCTTAATCCCTTTAAAGTGGAGAGGATTAAAGGTGGTCCCATATCAAACCCCCGGATCTGAGAGCCGGTGCCAGGCGTTATCTTCGGTTTCAGACCTTTGTGGCGGTATCCTCTGGGCGGTTAGCAGGTGGTTGGATCCCTGCTATTGCTGGGATATTTGGTGTAATATTTGGTACTCGATAGTACTTTCAGACTTACTTTTCTTGGCAGTGCGGGGTCACTATCTATATAACATTTTACAGGTGGAGAAGTGGCAGCATGTAGTAAATCATTTCCAGACGTGGGACGGAACTCGGGCGCTCAGTTCCCAGCTCTGTCCTGGTTCTGCAGCTCTCGTTTTCCCGCTAGCTAGGAGTGTTGCCAGCACAGAGGCAAAGTGCAGATCTATTCAGTCCAATCTCCTGTGCAACACAGGCCAATCTTTTGTCTGGGAGGAAAACGTCAAGAAAATATATCATTGGCGATTAGAGAGCAAGTTTTACTTACAAGGACGGGGAGTAATTTCTCCTGATCCAGTCAGTATCTCCCTGGGGCAAGCGCAGAGGGTATAAACTCTTTATGTAACTTTATGCACTCTTGCATAACTGTCTCGTCGTACCGGGTATCTGCACGACGGGAGCTATCATGAGCCAATTTTGCAAATGCCATTTGTATTACAGCAAATAAACTTGTCAATGAACAGCACAGTGCATTAAGGGAACCATCACATGCTGTGAAAAGTATTCTGTTGAGTAGCAGCAATCCACTCTTCATTAATCCACTCTGCCTTGGATTCAGCTCTGCGATGAGACACTGCATTATCCTGTAGCTAAGCACAGCGCAGCAAACTGACGCTTTTACATGAGAAAGCGCAGCTCTGACGACCTGTGTGCTTTTATGCCAACGTCAGAAGAAAGTCTTCTGACCCAGCTAAGCAAGGCTCAAAGAAACGCGGTGCGTTTTCAAACCGTGGAGGTATGTCTACGCGAGTCTCGGGGCTTTTTGTCCCCTGTCCTGCAACAGATCCTGCTGTGACCGATTCAGCAGTACAGGCAACAGCACATCCCTGCAGTGTGACGCCGTTTGGGATCACCCAAAGAATTCAGCCCTGGATCTGACCGTCTTAAACTGGACCATGTTTGTCACGCTAACAGAAGCTGGATACTGAGCTCTGACCAGCTGGTCCTAGATTTAGCTGTTTGAAGCCTATGAGCTTTTTCAGAAATTGTAGCCTTAGCTGCAGGTAATGAGTATTAGAAGATCAAACCATGAGCTGCTCTGTAAATCCAGCTAGTTGTAGTGAAAACTTACAGGTCTCCAGGCCTTTGACAAGAGTTTCAGCTCTTCTTACCTCTCAGGTTGTGCTGGAAAGGTGAGGAAAAGATTCCGAGAAAAGAAGTTCAGTGTTTAAAGAAAGAGACTATTCTATACCAATGATAGGAGCATGTTCTTACTGTGTGGTGTTTGATGTTTTCACCCCTTTCCTCACCCAGTGCTGGTATCCTCCCTTCGAGGTTGCTCTCCAGGAGCTTGCTGGAAGCGACCTGCAGCACACGGTGGGCTCCCTCGCGTGCGGCCGTGCCCTTCTGCAGGGCTGCGGGCTGCCGTGCTTCGCCCCCAGGCAGAATCTCACCCCTCTTGCACGTGTGGAGCTTTCAGGGCCAGGAAAGCTTCACCCAGGCAGCTGCTTGGATGCAGGAAAGCTCCAAATCCAGTTGGAGGTTAGGGCGAGAGGAGAGGGTAGAGAGAGGACGTTGCACGGTTGTAAGAAGTTGGCGTATAGCCTCGTTACATATTACCAGTGCAGTGAAAGGAGGAGGTGAACAAAGAAAGATGTCCTTTTTGCTAACGTTTTGTGGAAGATGTTGAAGTATATTTAGATGCTGGGCTGTGTTGGTGGGAGCGTGCACACACATACACATACGTACACATCCTTTCTCTTGCAATGCTCTGTCTCTCTTCGTGATCTACTTTTCCAGCTGTCGCTGTGTTAAACTGCTGTGTAATGCATTGCAACAAGCTTCTCCCAGCTCTTGTCAGCATTCCT